AGATACTCAACATTTGATGAGCTTTTCTTCATTTCTAAAATATCTTCAATCTTAGCAACAAAATCATGTAATACTTGGAACCCCTAAATGCATCTGAAATTTTCACTTTGGTGTCAAAGAGAAACTTTTCAAATTAAGTCAATTTTTAGATTAGTCCAGGATCCGATGAAGAGAGGTTCCTAAGGCCTTTGGTCACTAGGGTCTTATTGAGGCAAGAAAGCTGGCATAGGGAACAAAGGCCTCAGGCTCCACCTCTTCCTTCCCCTTCTAAGTTAGAACACTGTGGATATGATGTGTGGCCAGACACCTCTCTCCCCTCCCACCTCTCCTCCATTGCCACTCTCCCAATTTCCTGGGATAAGATACCATTAAGACAAACAAAATTAGTCTCAGCCAGAGCTGGCAACCATGCTGACATACATGGCAGTGTTAAAGCCTCTCAGCCCTCCAGGTCCTCCTGCTATCATCCGGAGAAGAGGGACTGAGATGAGTTGCACTGACAACCTCCCCTCCCCGACCCCGCCCCCAGCCTCAGAGACCAGGAACCACCCCCATTCCCTCCCCTTGACCATAGTTGATAAAAACCTCCACCCAGACCCCCTCAGTGTGATTCACTGTCTGAGGTTGCCCACACTTCCTTCTTAAGTGCGAATTGTCACTAATAAATCTGTTTTGCTAAACCTCTCTGTCTCACTCTTGAATTTTTTTTTTAATTTGTTTTTTTTTTTACAGAGAGGAAAAGAGAGTTAGAAACATCGATGAGAGAGAAACATCAATCAGCCGCCTCCTGCACACCTCCTACTGGGGATGTGCCCACAACCAACATACATGCCCTTGACCAGAATTGAAACTGGGATCTTTCAGTCCGCAGGACGACGCTCTATCTACTGAGCCAAACCGGTTACAACTCACTCTTGAATTCCTTCCTGCATGGTAACAAGAACCTAGACACAACCACTGGGTTGAGGCCTCCCTTGGCCTCCCCATGAGCATCACTATGATTGTCTTACCATTAACACTTTAAACATTTCCATATCTCATGTATTCTCTTATCCCTTTATCTCACCATAGACCAAGCTCTCTAAACAGAGAGTGGTGAGCCCTTTCAGGATAAAGTTCTTGCTGCTCCCTCTTTATTGCAGTTTCCTTCTCCATAGATGTCCAGGACCCCACACTCAACTTCTACCCTCACGCCCACCTGGCACTGTACTTCAGCAATTTCCTGTTCTTTTTGGAAAGAGACTAGGTAGAAATACACATACATATATATCTTGCCTGTTGGTTTTGGTCTTATAGGAATATGGCTCCACAAGATTTTTAGAGAGTTGAATAGGTTCACTAAAATTAAACAGTTAATGGCTGCTTAGACTACTATACTTATTCTTGGAACGTCTGAACTTTAGCATTCTTTAAAGTTAAAAGAAGGACTTTCTAAAGGTGATATTTAGGTATTAGAAACCAATAACAAGGGCATTATTCCTGAGTAAAGGAGTCTTGCTGACAATTGTAGGTAATCTTGTCAGGCTGATGCTAAATAGAATGGAATAAAGGAATCAAAGAAGATCAGAGCCAGAGGGAGCTAAGCCAGTATAAAACATTACTTTTAAGGAAAGAGACCCAGAGAAATAAAATGACTCGATGATCAGCAACATACACATTCGTTGTCCTCCATCATTCTTTCTGCCCTGTTCTCTCAATTAGCTGGGCACGTGGCCTCCTGAATCCAGACTATATGTTCCAGCCTCCCTTGCAGCTAGAGATGGTCAGGGGCAGCTTAGTTTTGTTTAGTCGATGGGATATAAACAATAGGTTGTGTTTGACTGTCTGGAAAAGTCTTTCTCCCCTTTCCCCTTTCTGCTGGCTGAAATACTGACTTGATAGGTAAAGATGATTAGTGATCTTGGACCATGAGATGGAAGCCATGTGCTCAAGGATGATACAGCAACAAAGCAGAAAAACCCTGGGTTCCTGCCACAAGAAGTTCCAGACTGACTGCATTCGAGACTTGTGTATGTGCAAGGGAAGTAGATGTGTATCTTTGTTTAGGCTACTGTTGTCTTGAATTTTTGTGTTACTCTCAGCCTCACCTAGTCTAAACTGCGATAGTTTCCAGTAGTTTGGAAAAGTTTTAACTGATAAGCATGGCTTGATGGAAGCAGGGCAGGATGGGTGATGGACAAGGCCTGATTCTAAGTTTAAAAGAGAAAAATGTTTTAAATTCTTTATGTCAAAGGATATAAAATACTGATTCACAAACAACTGCATCAGAAGTACTCTGGTAGAGGGTCCCCTGAATCCAGAGTCCTGGGTCCTTTTCCTGGAAATTTTGATTTAATGGGTATTCTATAGGGCCCAAGAACTTGTATGATGTAAAAAAATGTTTCCCATGTAATCCTTACACCAGTGATGGCGAACATTTTGAGCTCGGCGTGTCAGGATTTTGAAAAACTCTAACTTAACTCTGGTGCCGTGTCACATATAGAAATTTTTTGATATTTGCAACCAAAGCAAAACAAAGATTTATATTTTTGATATTTATTTTATATATTTAAATGCCATTTAACAAAGAAAAATCAACCAAAAAAATGAGTTTGCATGTCACCCCTGACACACGTGTCATAGGTTTGCCATCACTGCCTTACACACAGATACATATGGAATTATTTGCTCTACAATCGTTCTCTACTGAAAAGCTGAATCAGAACCACCAGAAAATAAATACTTCTCCCTCAAACATGAGAATGAGAGATTGGTGACGGGGGACAGAAGGAGACAGAGAGAGAGAGAGAGAGAGAGAGAGAGAGAGAGAGAGAGAGAGAGAGAGAGAGAGAAGGAAAATTTTGATATTCTAAATTCTGAAATAAGTGATTTTAAAAAAATATATTTTATTGATTTTTTTACAGAGAGAAAGGGAGAGGGATAGAGAGTTAGAAACATCAATGAGAGAGAAACATTGATCAGCTGCCTCCTGCACACCCCCTACTGGAGATGTGCCCGCAACCAAGGTACATGCCCTTGACTGGAATCAGACCTGGGACCCTTCAGTCCGCAGGCCAACACTCAATCCACTGAGCCAAACCAGTTAGGGCTGAAATAAGTGATTCTTAAAGTTATTTGGATCCCTTCTTCCTGCTCCCACCTGGTGTCACACAATATCACCTAATAAACCATTCTCAGGTTTGCCTTAGGTCAGAAAAAAACTACAGTGACATAATTGTTATGTGGCTAGTGGTTTGTTTTTTTTAAATGTATATAGATCACCTTTTCTGTGGGAAGTTTAGTCATTTCCAATGTGCATTACTACACTGAATGAATCATGAATATATTTGTGACAAAAAGAACACCATCAAAGCACAGGAAGAGTACACTTTCTAAAGATTCCAGGGCCTTCTACATCACAGGCTGCATTTTTCAGTCCATGAAAAAAATCTGCAAGATCAGCAGATCCAATCAAACAGCTGTCAGCTGAAGTTGGCCTTAAAGCACTTGGGCACTTAAGCCGGTTCTGGCAGCAAAGGTGACGACGGCACGGGGAAGTGTTACCAGAAGACAGATTGTGGCAGGCGTGAGACATTCCCAACAGTAATGGACAGAAAGGGATTAGACTAAGCAGCGTGTCCCCACCAAAGTAATCCTTTTACAAGATCCACCCTTACGTTGACATGTGCCGGCTGCTTGGGAGCTCAGCTCTCCCACCTTCTCTGGGGAAACTAGAGGGCAGAGCCCTGCACTAGGAGGACGCCTAGCATTCACCAGGCTCTACAAATCTCAGCAGAACCAAAGATCCATTTAGACACAACATTTGAAAAAAATCTCAAAAAAATACCAAAGATCTAATTCCAATTGAGTCACCAGCCAGCTCGGTCTGGGTCAGTCACCTAGCTTTTTCAGTTTTTAACTTTCTCCTGTGTAGAATCAAGGGGTTGAGTTGATGAGTTATAACAATCTCTTTTATCTTACAGGAAACTATTATATATCAGTGGGTAAAAGTTTCCCTCTATCAATTATATATTTGCTTTTATTTTAAAAGATAAAGATCCTAAATCCTAATATAACATCATCAGACATACATGTATGCGTGTGTATACATGCATGCACACACCCTTAAGAAATTGAACTTCTGGAAATTCTTTCTTAGTCGCCTAATCCCCATGAGCTCTGATGGCATCCTCTGGTCCCTGCTAAAAGATTCCATCATGCAAATATTTAGGCTAGGACTTTTAACATCCACGAATGTTTATTTCACTCTCCCAAGTAACCTCATCCAGAGGGCGCAAAGCATACTGCATCCAGGCCCGTATTGACAGGATAGCCATGGGCTTTCATTAATAACTAGAGGCATGGTGCACAAAATTGGTGCATGGTTGAGGTCCTTAGGCCTGGCTGGCAGTCAGGGCCAATCGGGACCTTCCAGCTGCGGTCTAGGGCCTTCCTTCTGGCTGTCGGCCAGGGCCTGCTGGACGAGGGAAGGGACCAGGGGAGGTTGGCCAGCCGTGGAAGGTTGGCTGTGGGAGCGCACTGACCACTAGGAGGTAGCTCCTGCATTGAGCGTCTGACCCCTGGTGGTCAGTGCATGTCACCAGTCGTTCTAGTCGTTCTGGCATTCCAGTCACTTAGGCTTATATATATATAGATAGGGAGTCTCTGACTCTGCTTACTGGGTTAAGCAGAACTGTGACCACAAATGAGATGAAACTCCTTTATTGGATTTGTTATTATAAGGTGGTCTTGAATCTGTCATACTACTTTCTCCATTTTAACCCTTCCCTTCCTCAGGTGCCACTCCAGCAATGAAATCCTCATTTCCTGAACCTTCCACGTAGCCCTGCTATATAATGTGGCCTTGACACAGAAGCCACTGTCCATGCAAAAGGTTCAAAAGAAATGGGAACTCTCAGAAGTCCCAGGAAAAAATGTGTAGGCCATAGAGCTTCAATGGACTGAGTGCCAATGGAATTTAAGGAAATGGAGAGAGAGAGAGAAAAAAAAGCCAAACTTACTTCATCCACATGCCCAACAGCTCCATAAATTCTGGCCATCTGTCCAATGAGGTAGGGGAATCTCTCACCAATCTCTCTCAGCATCGGAAGGAAACTGTTCAGAGCCACTGGTTCATAGCCTGCAATCTCTATGAGGATGTTTAGGATGACATCACTATGGCTTGAGTCCTTCAAATGTCTGATTAAGAAAGGAATACACTTCTGAACCACCTACAAGAAAGAAAGGAGAGGGGGGAACAAAGAGAAACAAGGAGGACAATTAATTAAATCAGATTCAATCTAATATATTTTATTTTGTATTAAATCTGAACTCAGCACATTCTGAGATTATTACACTTGGAACTAAAGCAAATCTCCCAAGTCTGGAATTTTAAATTTACAATAAAATTACAGAGACTTCAGTTTCTTTTTCTTTTAACCTGTGCTGTGCTATTAAAGAGTAAAGTTTATAAGCGCTTAGATGCTGCTGTTCATAAATCAAGTTTTGATGTGTTATGTCCTCATCAGAAGTGTTATATTTTCCTTCAAACCACCATGAGAGCTCTAATTTAAAAGACAAAGTATGTAAAAGATTCTTGATGACTTTAATCAAAGCCTTCAAATTGGAGAAATATAACTTGGAAGCATTTAAATATGTTTTCATTGATTTTTAGAAAGAGAGGAAGAGAGTGGGAGAGATAGCAACATGGATGAGAGAGAACATTGATTGGCTGCCTCTTGCACACCCCCTACTGGAGACTAAGCTGGCAACCCGGGCATGTGCTTTGACAGGGAAACAAACCAGTGACCTCTTGGTGCATGTGTCAATGTTCAACCATTGAGCCACACCGGCTGGTCTGGTTTGGAAACATTTAACAATAAAAATAAGAAAGCAGAAGAGATGTCCCATGTTTTCTTCAGTTTTCCATTTTGATTAAAAAATGTAATATGATAAAAATTATGAAAATAAAATAATTTCTACTATATTCCCAATAGCCTAATATTTCTTTCTGTATTTTAATTCTTTTATGAATATAAAAATACAATACTTCATATTAAGGAAAATGTGAATTTTTGTGTGGAATAAATTCACTATGTTAATACACAGACATGTTGCATACTGACAATTTAACAAATTGTTTTGTCTGCTAAAATAAGATAATTAGAAAGGACAACCTGTGGAAAACAACAATAAAAGCCAAAACTATTGTTCATCCATCCTTCTACATACTTATTTCTTGTGTTTGTTGTTGGTTTGCCTTTTTGGTTTGTTACCTTTTTTGTAAAATAGACTTGAAATGTAGCTTCTGGGATTAAAAACCAAATCCGATGCACAACTCAATCTGCTGAACCACAATCCGCCCCCTGCCTCAAACCCGCTTTTCCCACCTCTTAGCCACAAGTGTCTCTTTTCTCCGTAAGTGACACCTTTATCTGCTTGGAAACTCAAGCCAGAAATCTGAGACTCATTCTTGACTACTGACTTTTCCCCTTATCAGCAACCTCAATCATCCAGTCCTATTGATTCCATCTCCCAAGTATCCCACAGATCTGTCCACTCCTCTCATTTCCATTCATCTATCCACTCACTCATGCTGGAAACCAAGATCAACAGTGTGAGGAGTCTGGCAGAAGGCTAGCCGGTACTCCCTTTGATATTCACAGGGTGAATATTTACATTTTATTACTTGCTGCTGACTCAATGGCCTAAAGCAAACTCCCCCAAAACCTGACAATCTTACTGTTTACTAAACATTACCATTGATATGTCTGTTTGCATTCCTAAAAGGCAATTGTGTATTCTAGTAAATAAAAGCAGCTGGGAATGGAGACTCAAGAGAACTTGACTGCTATGGTCCAGTTTTCCTCTGGTTTCCTCCAGTATCATAATTAATATTTCGTCTTGTGTGTCGTTTGTGCATTAGCTCTTCCTCCAAGCCTTTGAACCCCAAAAGCCACGCTGGCTGTGGACTTTCACACACTCATTCACAAATATTTACTGAATCCTTCTTATTTGCAAGATGCTGGAGTTACAGTTGCTAATAAATATAACACGCCTTCATGGAATAAATCACTACCTAGAAAAGGAGACATTTAGCAAAATAAATAATTGCACCAGAAATGCATATAATAAATTTAGTAATACATTCCATGTAGGAAAACTCCATGCTGTGAGACTGCCCCAGGCTCCTAATTTAGGCTGGGGGTCAGGGAAGTCCTCTCTCAGCAGGGACATTTTAGTTGAGACCACTGATCCAATCACTCTGCATTTGGGTTATCCTAACAGCTTCCTAAGTGTTCTCTCTGCCTTCAGTCTTGTCTGTCCAACCCCTTCGCCATGTGTGGCCACAATGGTGACCCTCCCTGGCTGACAATACCTCACTGATTTGCCATTGCTCTCAGGCTGGCGGCTTAGCTGACCTTTTCTGAACTGACTCCTATCCATCTTTCTAGGCTTATCTTCTAGCCACCTATTCTACTCTCTCCCCATCCAGATCTCATCATATATCACACACTTCAATCATGTCTTTAAAAAGTTAAAAAATTTTTTTTAAGTTTTCTTGACCTGCTAACTTTTCTCTTGCTTCTGGGATTTTACTCATGTGATTCACTTTGCCTGTAATTCTTATTGCCCTAACTTTGCTGGGTAACTCCCAGTCATTCAGAGGCCTCAGATTGGCTGTGAATTCCTAAGAAGCCTTCCTCAGATTTCCTGCTCTCAGTCCAGTGTCGCTGCTGAAACTCCGATCATACCCTAAATGGGTCTGAGCGGGTCCTTCTCGCGCTTTCTTCTCATTGCTGGTCTAGATGTCTGTTTTGCAGACTGGATTGAAAGGTCTACAAGGTCAAGAATCATTTCTATTTTGTACATCACGGTATACTCAGTGCCTAGCATAGAGCCTGGCCAGGAGGGTGAGTTGGAGGAGCACATCAAAGAAAGGCAAGTCTAAATGATTGTACAGGTTAATATTCGGATAATCACACACTCCCATATACTTGAATAGTTAGTTGTACACAATGTGTACACACATATACTGTCATGTGTCATATGCAGCATAAGTAATAGAGACATAAAAGAAGACAGTTTTGAGATAAGTAAAATTGTCCTACCTATAAATTTAAAGTTTACATTCCTATCTAGGACTTTGGAGGAAAGGACTGGGCTAGTTTCTGGTAACTGGCACAGAGCAATGAACAGTTCAGTAAATGCTTCCTGTGCGTTGGGAGTGATTGTATGTCCTTCAGGGGAAGCCACGAGGGATCCTTGGCACACATGGCAGAAGTGTCGGCCAGCTGCTCCGGGTCATGGCAGCACACCTAACTCGAGGCTTTTAGGAATGGAAAATGCTTACACACTTCCTGTCCCATTCTATAATGTTCCATTTCCCTGTCCCTGCTCTTCATGTCTTATTCCCAGAACACCCCGGTCTCTGTGACATGTGCTCCCTGTCATGCCAATTTCATTTTAATTCCATCATACCCTCCAAGTCACGCAAGAGTATATAATGTCTGTTCCCCGTGAAGAAAAATAAAAAAGGAAAAGAAGAAAAGAAAAAATGAAGATTCAAGGCCTAACCAGAATTGAATGCATAAAAGAAGCAAGGAGGAGAGATGCCCAAGCAATGTGAATAAAGTGATACCAATTTTACCAATTAGATAAAAGTTGATTATTTGTTATAGTTCCCTGATAAACAAAAGTTTATTATGGTGGTGATAGAAAAGACAGATATTTCTCAGAGTTTATCATACATGTGATGGGGAAGGGGTGCTTTGGACTTCAGGTGGGTTATTCTTGGATAAGGAAGAATTTTTCCAAGTGCAGGGCATTGCTTTAGTCTGGTCTTTTCGGTGCTGCCTCATTGGCCCTGCTTCACGTCTCAGAGAAGCTTGTCTTTACTGAGAGAGAGAGGGGCCACTCAGACAATAGGGATGGCTGGCAGAGGGCAAGCTGGTGTGGCCTTGGTTCAGGCCATAAGCCCCATTCCATGGAGCACTGAGAAAGCTTCCAAACTGGCCTCCCAGCCTGAAGTCTTTCTCCCCTGTGTTCAGCCTCCTCTCTGCCACCAGAGTCACTGTTCTAAAACCCCATCTGATCATGTCAGGACTTCAAAGATTTCCCACAGCCCACGCCCGGAATCCCAGTGCCACGGCTTTCCAGGGTCTTCACTGCTGGGCAGATCTGCCGACTCTTCCTCCGTGAACCCTCTGACTCAGCAGCATGCCACTGACTACCCACAGTGGCTTGAACACAGAGAACTCGCATACTTGCAAAGTCAATCTCAAATAGCTCTATTTCTGGGAAGCCTTTCCCCCAGGCCGTCCTAACACATACAGGACCTGGGGCTTGAGTACAAATGGAGGTCCCCAGGCCACATCCTAATATTCAGCAGTTATTAAAAAAAACAAGTTCTTTCCTTCTACCTGACACATATGCCTTTATAGCAATCTGGGAGGCTTGGCTGGATTTTGCAATTTGTGGCCTTTGTAGAAGGAACAGGGGGAAATGACCCCTAGCCCTCATTCCTTGCCCTTCACTTCCCTCCCTACCCTTGGCTTTGCCCTGCAAGGAGTCTTCTATGCATGTCTGTGGATATTCCAGCCCACAGTCTTTGGGCCTGTGGGGTCACACTTAACATGGCCTGTCCTTGGGAGAACAGCCCCAGCCAACAGGCCTGCACAAGCCCTGGAAGCAGGACGGAGAAATGCAGAGAAGGGATTGTGAGTTACCTGGACAGTGTTTGTAGGTGGGGCAGTGGATGGGAACAGGGTGGGGGCCCAGGTCCAGACCAGAACCCTGTAGAGCAAGTTGCCCAGAGAAGGGTCCTATCCCTGGCTTCTCTGTTTCTTTCAGAGCAGAATTAATCACTGCCTTTTATTTTATTTTTTAATAGAGACCTGATGCACGAAATTTGTGCAAGGGGCTTGGCCCTCGCAGCCCTGGCTTTATCTGGAAGGTTGTCCGGAAGGTTGTCTGGATGGTTGTTCTGCTGTTCGGTCTATTTAGCATATTAGCTCTTTATTATATAGGACTAGAGGCCCAGTGCACAAAAATTTGTACACTCGGGGGGGGGGGGCCCTCAGCCCGGCCTTTGCCCTCTTGCAGTCTGGGACCCCTCGGGGGATGACCACCTGCTGGCTTAGGCCCACTCCCCGGGGGTCCTGCTAGGGTGCCTGGCCAGTCTGGGTGAGGGGCTGATGGCTGTTTGCAGGCTGGCCAAGCCCCCCAGCGGGGACCCTCACCCCATGAGGGTGTGGCCATCCTGGGTGAGGGGCTGATGGCTGTTTGCAGGCTGGCCATGGCCCCCAGCCACCCAAGCTCCCAGTGGAGGCTGGCTGGAAGCAGGTATCTGGGAGTTATTTATCTTCTATAATTGAAACTTTGTTGCCTTGAGCGGAGGCCACAGCCGGCCAGGGCAGGCGGGAAGCTTGGCTTCCTCCATGGCTGGGGCAACCAAGCCTCCTGCTTGCTCCAGCTCCGTGGCTGCTGGCCGCCATCTTGGTTGGGTTAATTTGCATATAGTTGCTCTGATTGGCTGGTAGGTGTGGCTTGGGGGCATAGTGGAGGTGCAGTCAATTTGCATGTTTCTCTTTTATTAGATTAGATTTTTTGCTTCCACAGCAGTCTGCTGACAATTTTAGTATCTTGTCACTGAACTGAAGTGTTGTAGACGTATCTCATCAACCCAGGCCATGGGCACCTTGTGGGTAGGGCCATCTGGAAACATAGCACCATAACTTAAATGCATAGAATAAAAGGTACAGCTATTGTGTGTGTGTCCACATGTGTATATGTGTGTGTGTGTGTGTGTGTGCGCATGCCCTCTTAACACTATCTTCTTAATGTTCTGCATCTGACATCTATTTTAAATACTGAAAGTGACCTCTGAGTCATGTCAGCTTAGTGATGCTGTGTTTGATGCTGTAGGAATCGGTATGTAACTGGAAATGCTCTACACTGCTGAGAGAAAAATCCTAGAAAACTACTCTCTTCTCTAGGGACCAGACCACAAAAGGAGTTCCTCTGGGTCTGGACATTAATCAATGGAGGGCTGAACTCACCACTTGCTGCTGGTTAGGGCTAGAAGCCCACGTCCTGGGGATAATAACAGATATACTCACATGTGCTACTAAATTCTGTCCCTTTCATTGGCTCCACTACAGCATAATTTTCAGGAGCCAAGAATGCAGACTTTGCTCCAGAAAGCCACTTGGAACATTGACCACCCAGCCTCTTTCTACAAGTGGATTCGGAGGATTCTCTGGAGCTTCCAGCCATGAATCACCATCCAGGAACTGCCTGTCTTCACCTAGGAAGGATGGTTTCCTGAGAGAGGGATGCCCAGAGGGCAGTGATGGAGGAAGGACACCCACCTGCCCCGCCAGCCCCGTGGAAGCTCACAGACGTATGGTTGATGGTGAAGCTATGCCTTCTTTGCAATCTCATGGACTACTCAGCTGCACATAGAGAAGATATTTTCCCACAAGCCAACTATTGACCCCCATCCCTGGAAAGCCAGGTCATCACCAGTCACAGAAGGTAGGTAGTGAGGAAAGCATTCCTGCACTTTGCCCTCATTGGAGAACCCACGCACTTTACGTCCAGGTTACAGAGCATTGGCACAGCTTTTATGCAGAAAGAAAAGCATTGCTTTCATCCACATTTCCCAAGGTTAACAACCTCTTCCTTTCGCTTCCTATTTCATCTGAAATTAATTGAACTAGACTATCACTGAAAGCCTTAGTCCTCATTTCTGATTGTTGCTATGTATTTCACTGTCCTCTCTCAGTAAACCCTTTGTCTGAATTCCTCCCATTCCCTTTGCCCACTGTCTAATTAAGGGACAAATTAAGAGAGAGGAGGTGAATCAGGTGCTCCTCTAGCTCACTGCCTGTGCCCCTCAGCAATCAAGGGTGAGCAATTGAAGGGCTGAGGACCGAAGGAGGCAAGGCGGGGCTGCCTTAACATGAAGGTGAGCGTTGATGGGAAACAAAGTGATGGAGAGTTACCTGTCACAGCTTCTTCCCACCAGGTAGGATCCTGGCATGGGCAGGGCCCATTCTCACCACTGTGGATGCGTCCCAAACCCTTGCTTCTTCCTTCTGGGATCCACACTCAGCACCCACAATACCTGCAGGAATCTGTTGCCACCCTCTCCTCCTTGTTCAGTTCAATTCTCCTCCTCTTGCCCAGCTCACCTTTCTGTGTCTGTCCCAAGAGACGCGGCTGTCTGCCATGCGGTCTCCCTCCGACCCTCTGGGCTCAGGTCTGGCAAACTTTCCTGCCCAGATCCCTGGTTTTTAACCTTTCCAGGGGAGCTCTGCCCTTCCCGGCTGCAAACCGTCTCACCAGCTGAGTAAATTTGCCAATTCGGGGTGGGTGTTATTAGTTTCAGCTGCTTACTCCGTTTCCCAGCTCACCTTTCTGACTGCCACCTTCTGCTGTGGCTTCTGCAGAAGGCTTTACCAGCCACAGCCTTATAGCCTCAATTGTTTTGTGTATTGAGATAAAAAGATCTCATTGGCGAGATTTAGACTGAGTTTATGATGTAGCTTGGACTGACCCATATGGCTTTGGGACAGGTATCTAGCCAGTGTCAGCCCCAGAATATGTATGTATGTATGTATGTATGTACGTACTTAAATTGAACTTATTGGGGTGACATGGGTTCATCCCATAGGTTCTCAGGCTTTAGGACTTGGACTACAGCTCACACCATCAGTTCTCTTGTTTCTAAGATCTACAGACTTACACTTGACCTACATCACTAGCTTTCCCAGATCCTCTGCTTGCAGATGGCAGAGTGTGGGACTCCTCAGCTTCAATAATGGCATAAGCCAATTCCTCATGATAAATAAAAAAATACACACACTTAAATCCTATTGGTTTTGTTTCTCAGGGCGGAGTAACCCCAGACAGTATCCAACTTCTGCCATCACCCTCCTGACTGTTATGATTCTAGAAAAGGTGGATGAGCATGTGTAGGCCTATGCGAGAGTTAACCGGAAGTACACATCCTATTCACATGCCCCAAAACATGCGTGGTTGTGTGGACCATCAAGTGCATACTGTGCTCTTTACCTCTGGTTGCTTTCTCTTCGCGGCTACGTGCAGAAGCCGCAGGAGATGGTACTGCTCTGGCTGCTCCAGCTGCGACATCAAGGCCAGGAGTTCCGTCAGGTGTCTGTTAATTGGCTGAGGCTGCTTTTCATACACAGCAGGTAATACCCTCAACAACATGGTGTTGCCTGTTGAGAAAACAATAAAGGGATGAGCCCTAGAAATAACATTACTAGCAATGCAATCACCTTTGCACGGAATGCAATACATAGCACGAGCTGATGCCCAAGTCTTCTGCTGAAAATAACAGTACCTTACGCTGTTTAGTTCCAAAAATTGTGAAAGCACAATTTAAGCCGAATCCATAAAAGAGAATATTTTATGATGTGATCAGTGTTATATCTAATGAAAAATTTTCCTGAGTAATGCACCATGGGGAGAGAGGAAACTTTGACAGTAAGCAGACCACACCCTTCAGAAGAAACGGTTCCGATAAAGAATTCCTGATGAGAACATTTGGATGTTGCTTAAATAAAAATTAAGCAGTGTCACAAGCACGAACCTACGTGGAACTGAAGGACAGCAAAAAAGTTGCTGAGGAATGTATGCACATTCCTGAGAAATACCAGGCATATGACTTACACAATCGACATATGGAGGCTAGGCCTCATTTTTATGAGAAGTTTGGAGAGTAGCAAAGCAAATTCAAATCTCTAATTTCTGCACTATTTCACGGGAAGTTTAGAGTCAGCTTGTTTGTCACATGTGATTTGCCTCAAAGACATGTATGAACAACTGGATTTAAAATGGCAAAATCTCAAGAAAATATATTGTATAAACTACAGTGATTTATCTGCAAACAACATATGGGAAACATCTGCCTATCACTTTATGGTATGGATTTTTTTCTCAAAATCCTCTCAAGTTCTTAACTGTCTCCGGAGAACTGGCTCCTATGGATTTCTTGAACAAGAATTTTCCTGCCTCTATTTACTTTAAATTCAGCTTTGTATACAGAAAATATGCACCAAAAGCATCAAATAAGCAGTAATTACACATATTTAGACCTTTATTAAATGGTGGGGACAAATCCTATGTAATAAAGACAGAATATGCAAATTGACCATCACTTCGCAACAAAGATGGCAGTGCCCACAGCCAATAAGGAGGGAATATGCAAATCGATGTGACAAAGATGGCGTTCCACCCCGCCCAGGCTGCTCTGGGCCTCTGGGCAGCACCCGAAGGCAGAAGGCGGCTCCTGGCCAGAGTGAAGGTGGTGCTGGCAGCCAGGGGAAGGAAGGCCTGTTGCACGAATCTTTGTGCATTGGGCCTCTAGTTCACATATAAAGGACATTTAGATATGAGAATAGAGGAAAGAAGGCCAGCATTTTCAGAATGTCAATGACTAAGTTTAATAAGGCTGATTCTAGATCAAACAATGTATTTGAGTGACAATAAATAATGAGTCTTGCTTTTTCCATATGTGGTTCACAGAATTGGTCTCAAACAGATTTTAATCAGATGCCCATAGAGTACAAAGTATTGGAAATATTCAGGTTTTCTTTTTTTTAAAAAGTGTGCATTGAAAAATATTGTTTTATTTTGTTTATTTTTAGTAACAGCTTTTCCTTAAAGGATCAGGAATTTTAAATGCAATGCCCAATCTATACAGAACACATTGGATCATAGAGCTTAGTTATGTAGACAAACTGATCAACTCTGCAAAAGGTCAGGATGAATGGGACTGTTGTTGGAATTCAGGATGGGAAATTGGTGTAAGGCTTTTTGGTACAATATTCCCTGGGACCCTTGAAGGGGAAAAATCCAGATTAGTCATTTTTCAGCTAACTTGAATTTAAATCAAAGAATACAAAAGTAAATGCATAAGAACATTTTTTTTAAGTTAGAAACTGATGATGACACTTTGATGTAGAAATCCTATAAATTCCATTAATAAATTAGTGTATTCTTTTAAATTATGAAATATTCAAAGTCATTAGACAATACTGTAAGGAGCACTGGTATACCTATCAACCAGCTTTGTCAAAACTTAACCTATGGCATAATTGCTTCCCATCCCACTCATTTATTTTTCTCCCCAGAGGGAACCACCATCCTGAAATTAGTATTTACCATCTTCATGAGTGTTTTTTTCACTTTAATTGCATGTGTATGTATCAATAAGCATTTTATAGTATTGTTTTGCATGCTTTAAATTTTATATTATTGTATCATATTGAACATATTTCTTTGCAACACAGCTTTCCCCCATTTGACCTTACTTAGAAGTTTTATCTCCAAGGAGCTCTCCACTTATTCTTACAGCTGTGTGGTATTCCATTATATAAGTATGCAACAATTTATTCACATGCTCTGTGGTTGAAAGATATATTATTATTAACAATTTCTTTTACCAATAGTGCTGTAATTTTTATACCTATTTCTTTGTCTATATGTGGGAGGCTGCTCTGGGGGTTGCTTTGGAGCTCAATCACCTGGGCAACTTGTTAAAACACAGATACTGATTCAGCCGGTTGAGGGTAGTGCTTAAGAATCTGAATTTCTACTAACTTTGAAGGTGATGCTGATGGTTCCTAGACCATATACTAAGGTAGCAAAGCAGTGGGTGTGTCCCTGGGAAAGTTTCTAGATCTCCTAAAATTTCTTGGAAAAGTGGTTGTAATAGGTTTCTATTGCTGCCATAAGGAATTACCAAAAACTTAGTAGTCCAAAACAACACAAATTTATTATCAGACATCTCTACAAGGCAGAAGGCTGACGTGAGTCTAACTGGGCTAAAGTTCAGGCTGGGTTCCTTTCTGGAGGTTGTAGGAGGGAATACGTTTCCTTGGCCCTTCTAGCTTCAGGACACCACCAGAATTCTTTGGCTTAGGGTCCCCTTCCTCCATCTTCAATGTCATCAACATAGCATCTCTCTGACCCGGCTTCCCTTATCACACCTCTTTCTCTGATTCTCTTTTCTGCCTCTCTCTTCCACTTTTGAGCATCCTTGTGATTTACATTGAGCCCATCTGGATAATCTAGGATTTTCTCCTTAACGTATATATAACACCCTCAATTCCATCTTCAGTGCAATAAAACATACCGTGTTCACTGGTTATGGGGATTAAGATGTGGACATCTTTGCGGGCACATTATTCTACCTACCAACATGATTTCAACAACTTATACACCCATCAGCAGCACGTTTCCATTGCTCTACATTCTTGCCAACATTTGGTCTTGATAGACCTCCCTTTTTCCCACTCTGATGGGATGTGAGATAATGTCTCATCTTTTTTGTTGTTTTAATTTTCATTTCCTTAATTACTCTCGTGAGGCTGAGCACACCCCTTTTTATATGTTTATAGGTCATTTCCTCTCCCATGATTTGGTCATTCATATCCTTTGCCTATTTTGGATTGGGATGTTTGGTTTTCTTATTGATTTGTAGACATTCCTTATTTAATCTAGTCACTAATTATTTGTTTATCAGTTTTAAAGTTGCACTCTTAATCTAGTTGATTTTAAAAATTTCTTTATAGTTTATTTTTGTTATTACTGAGAAATCTTTCTCTACCTAAGTACATATAATTTTTTTCTATATTTTCTCCTAAAAGCACTATGGTTTTGTCTTTATATTTGTCTTAAATTCATCTGGACTTTACTTTTGTACATATGAGGAAGGGGTCTAGTTATATATATTTGTGCATGTTTATTTTAAACCATGGTCCCAGGTTCATTTATTAAGTAATCATCAATTGTTTCTCTTCTGATTTGTAATAGCTTTTTCCAAAATAAGGTTTCCCATGTGTCTGGGTTTGTTTCTGGGTATTTATCATACCTTCACCAATTATAATTTTTAAAATTATAATTAACTTTATAATAAACTAGAGGCCCGGTGCATGGATTAGTGCACCACTGGGGTCACTTGGCCTGGCCTGCAGGGATCGGGCTGAAACCGGCTCTCCAACTTCCCTGAGGGATCCCAGATTGCAAGAGAGTGGTTCTTGGGTGCTGCACCCTGGAATTGGGCTCCTTCCTCTCTGGTTCCGGCTGCATCAACCCAGAACCGCAGCTGCCAAGTCACTGCAGCTCAGCAGTTCCTGCATTGATAGTCTGCCCCCTGGTGGTCAGTGCATGTCATAGCTACTGATCAGAGCATCTGCTCCCTGATGGTCATTGCATGTCATAGCTACCTGTTTGACTGTGGAATGGTTGGACAATTGCTTAGGCTTTTATATATATAGATCATTATATTTCACAGGGCAAATTTCTTCACCTTTAACTTCAAATTCTTCTTGGCCCCTTTACATAAATTTTACCAAAACTTTATCAACTTCATCAAAAAACTAGGGTAGGATTTTATTTTTTGTATACATTGAATATATAGACTAATTTGGAACAATAGACTTTATGAAAATGAGTCTTCTCACTGAAGAACATGATATATCCTTGCATTCATATATACTTTTTAAAAAATTTCCAAATAAAGTTTTGTAATATTAGTTGTACTTTATGTATCTTTCATTAATTGATTTCTAAGTATCCCATATTTGTTGTTGATATTGTAAATGGGAAGTTTTTTTTTTTTTTAGAAATGTATTTTCAGTTGCTGCTGGGTATTAAGAAACCAACTGATTTTGTATGTTGATCTTCCACCCAGCAGAAGTTGCTCAATTCTCTTATTAATAACCTGTCTTCGGAGTCTCTTAAGATTTTGCATATGGATAATCAACTCAGAATAATTGATAATAACATTGTTTCTTTCCTTCCAACATTATCCCTTATGTGGCTTATTTTTGTCTTACTTTATTAGCTGGAACCTCCAACACCTTGATGAGCAGAACCCATGTCCATGAGTATCCTTTTGTTATTCCTGTTTTTAAGAGTATGTTTCTAAGGATTCACTATTATGTATGTATATGTTTTTATAGATTTTTGGTATTTATGCTTTATCAGTTTACATTCCTGTTTCCTAGTTTGAACAAGAATGAGTACTGAATTTTATTAAACAACTTTCCTACATCTGTTAACATGATTATATGATTTCTTCTTCAAATTGATAATGTAATGAATTAATAGATCTTCTAACATTTAATCAATCTTGAGGTCTTGGAATAAACTCAACTTGGATATGATGTATTTTCATGCATATGGTGCTGGGTTTGTTTGGCTAATATTT